CGCGGGTATTTTTGGCTCGCAGCAGGGGCCAGGTGGGAGGCCAGGCCAGGCACACAAGGCCCCGGGTGCACTGGAGTGCCCGGCGGGGCCCAAATCCCCTAGCAACAGCAGCACCCCCTCCCCACAGCAACACCTGTGGAGCGGCCGTGCGGCTGCCAGGTGCTGGACTTGCCTCGAATACTTTCTGTGCTGTCTAACCACCCGCTCTGCCCTCCCCACCCCCAGGAGCGCTGCGAACCGGCCAGCGGGCAGGGCTGACTCCACTCCTGCAGGGAGCAGTTGCTGCAGTGACCCAGGGCTCGTGGACCGTCCTGCTCCACGTTGGGCTCCCCCAGTGTGGCATTGCCAGGTCCCATCTTATTTCACTGCCTTGTGCAGGGCTGGGCTGAACCTGCAGCCCAGGGAAAGGGTCCAGGTGGCAAATCCCCAGCCTGGGGACAGTCACCACCTCCCTGTGCCCTCGCCGGAGCTCCAGGTGGAAGGCCAGGGTCCCAGGCCTCTTGAGGAAACTGTTCTGGGTACATTGCTCCCTTTCCAGATTTTCATTTATACCCACAACTCATCCACTGGTGGCTGCACCTCCTTGTCTCTGAAGCAGTTGGGCTCCAGGCAGGTCTCCTTGCCTGGGTTTGCTGGCCCATGTACCCTCTCCCACTGTGCCAATGGGAGCACCCACACATATGGACCAAGAAAGCAGGAAAAACTTTTATTGATGAACATCTCTTTCCAAGGAGACATTCCCACTCCCTCCACCCCACCCTGGAGCATCGGTGGGGAGCTGGTTTCCTTGTCTTTTTAATATGGGAAGCTTAAAGTAGCAAAATAGTGAGAGAAGCCTCAGCGAGCGCAAGGGAAGGGGGTAGAAAACTGGCATCCTGGAGCCGAGGAGGGGTGAGGGGAGGCGGGCTGTGGGCCAGGGCCCCCCCTTGGGAGCCTGAGTGCAGGCACCGGGGGGGCTCTGCTGCCTTGAGGGTGGTAGTTAGCGGGGATGATATGAGCAGGGCAATAAATGAACTTGGAAAGCTGCAGCCTCGTTACTAGAGAGAGATCGAAAGTTACAAAAATACCAAAGATCTTGGGAAATGATGCAGGCACTTGGGAACGAGGAAGAGGGCAGAGCCGGCGGGGGCTTGCAGGGAGGTAAGGCCCCGCGGGAAGGCGACAACGTGGCAGAGAGCAGCGCGAGGGGCTCGGCCGGCGCACACCAGGGTGCAG